TATTTACTCTAGGTGACATGGTCAAATCTCATAAGTTTTTTTCAATTCAACAGTTGTTTTCAGGTTTCTATTATATATGTGGTTTACAGTACATATTTTCCCAGCATCACCTATGTACACATTCATGCATATGCACACAGATGAATGCCTCCTTTGGAATGCAGAAAACTCACAAAAATTTTCTAAAGATTTTCGTAGGAATCAATTTGATTGCCCTTTAACGTCAAAAGAAAAAAAAATCAATTGCCCTAGATATGAGAAAAATTCTTTTTTTTTTCCAAATGAGCCCGAAAGTGAGACACTGCACACAAGAGAAAATAAAGAATGGAATGGCTAAATTCCTAGTGACAGATTTTGGGGCTGAAATCTTGCAGATTATTGACCTTGGGATTTGTTTCACGATTCGTGTTTCGGCAACCTTCTTCGTGATTCTAGCTCTGACGCCACCTTCTTCTCCAGCTTTGGAACCTCTGGCGACCCCGACGAAGGCAATGGAATTAGGCTTCCAGGTCCCTTTTTGGGTAGGGGAGGGAGGGGATGGGGGAGGGATAAGAGGACAGAGATCACCGAGCTTGGAGGGATGGCTGTAGGAGGAGGCGGTCTAATGGTGGACGATGGACACGGGCGGGCAGCAAGGCGCAAGCGCTAAAGCCGTGAGGATGCAAGAGGGCGGTGGGATGGCGTTAGTGGCTACGGCAAAGTAAGCTTGTGGTTAGGAGGCGGCAAATGGTGGTGGCGGAGACCCGTCGGAAACGAGGAAGATGATGGAGCGGGGGCATCTTGTCGGCACCGGATTGAGGAGAGAGGGGAAGGGGGCAAGGGGGGGGAGGAGGCCTGCAGGGGAGCCTCATGTCCTTGATGCCTTCCGGCAAGCCAGTGTGGTTGGGTGGCAGCGACGATGAGAAACAATGTTCGGGGCTTTGGGCGTGCGGTGCTGAGTGGAAAAGGAAAGGAGGAGAAGGAAGGGATTAGGATTTGGGCCTTGCACGAATCTTAAAGCCTATCCAACGGTCCTAAATTACAAGATTTTGAGGGGTATTTTCTACCACATGTGTAATAGATAGTCCCAAAAAGAAAGAAAAGGTTGCATGTATCCAAACTGACACTAGGTGGTGTTCATTTCTAAAGATGAAAATGAAGTTAGGGCATGAAAAATAAGAAAGACATTGGCGTGTGATTAATTGAGTTTTAATTATTATAAACTTGAAAATGGTATTATATGATATTTTAAAATAACTTATATATGGAAAGTTTTTGCACAAAATACACCGTTTGCAGTCCGAAAGGCATGCTAACAAAAACTGAGGTAATATTTGTATCTTAATCAGAAAAGAACGGGGCTAAGTGTTACCGCTACAGAATTTTGATGTGTAACTTAGGTTTCAATTGGATAATGGAAAATGGAAATAATTGCCACCCATAAGAGCAACTTTTAATGCTGTTATTTCGAGTGAAGGGCCTCCTTTGCCATCATAGGCTACACTTGAGTGTAGTGAGTTGTGGGTCACAAGTAACGGAATACTACAATATGGAAGAGTTGAACTGCTTCAGCTATAGTATGACTATAAGATCTGAGAATAGTGTTGGCATGCCTCACTAATAACGAAAAATCCTATCAATGAATCTCTCTAATGCATCCAAATGCCAGCATAAGAGCCATTCAATACAGGTATTGTATCATTTACTTGGGAGGAAGATATGTAGTGGCAAAACAATATGTGTACAGATGAGTTGGCACACCAACGGTTATATAAGTACACCAAGTCGACAAAGGTGATTTGCTCAAAGGTCCTTGCCTTGCTAGAAAATCAAAGAAAGATGATGTTACCATAGATGATGTAGCCTATACTTGAATGTACTGAGTTGTTAGTCACGTGTAACTGAGGACTGCGGGATGGAGGAGTTGACCGCTCTTGGCCATAGGACGATTAAGGACGATGGAAACAGGATTGGGTATGGCTAAGTGGTAAAGGAAAATCTCAACAATATGTTTCTCTAATGCATGCAAATGCCATCGAGAACTTCCAGCAAGGGCATTATTCACTATAGGCGATTGAATCATTTACTTGGAAAATAGACGTAGTGGTAAAAAGAATAAAATTAAGTATTATTCATAGTACCAAAAACATATGCACTACTATTAGATAAAAAATAATTAGATGTGTTAAAATTATTTTTCACATTAGAGGCCAATCAATAGGAAAAAACGAAGTTTGGAAGTATTAAAAGCATTTTTTTCATATTAGGGCAACCTAATGAGAAAAAAAATGAAAGTGTTAGCAGCAATTTTTTTCCCACATTAGAGGGCAATCTATAGAAATATTTTTTGGAAGTGTTAAAAGCATTTTTCCCCACATTCGAGGGCGATCTACTTGGGAAAAAAATGAAAGTGTTAAGGTCATTTTTTTCACATTTGATGGCAATTTATAGAAAAAAAAAGAAAGTGTTAAAGACATTTTCTTCACATTAGAGGGCAATAAGTAGAAAAAAAGGGGAGGGGAAAATGGGGTTAAAAGAGGAGTTGAACCCAAAACCTATGGAATGAAACAAGCAAGTTTTAGTAACCAGCACAAGTTAGTGACTTGTGCTATCTATATGAAGTTTTTTTCCCAATATAGTGGGGGACCATCACTCATGTTGGCCTCCATTATGCTCAACCATTGATGGTGATTATGGTGGAGAATGCAACGGCTCAAATAACTAACCTAACTAACTATACAAATGTAAAAGATAAGATCCCCTCACATTCACGGGCTTGTTGACAACTCAAAGGAAAATACGCTACCATTGCAAATACATTCATATGGAAATAGGTGATATAGACAGAAAGATATAGTTGGTATAGAAACTATAAATAGGGGGAAATAACATTAGTAGATTTGTCGTGTTGTGTAGTTATATTCAATAATTTCCTTTCGATAAATATATGATATGATAAAGTAATAATCAAATATATCCATCTGAGACTGATTTGGGGTTCGCTAATATGACTGGAAAGTGTCTTAGGTTCATATCACAGGATTCATGCTTCATATTTCAGAGGAGAGTTTGTTCTTAGAAGTTAAACCAGATTGTCTCCTACAATGTACACGTTCAAACATCAAAATCATAAATCATTAATGCCCAAAATTATTGAGTAGGAAAATGACATTAGTAGATTTTTAATAATTTTCTTTTGATAAATGTACGATATGATAAATTAATTGCCATATATATATATATATATATATATGTATATGTATGTATATATATATGTGTATGTATGTATATGTATATGTGTGTGTATGTATATGTATCGAAGACTAATGCGTCGATGTTCAAAAATGTCAAGTTGAAAAAGAAAGCTAGTACTAAATCATTTGCACACGTGATTTGTATTAGAATTATTCTTGAATGTATAGTAGACTTATTTTTAGATAATGGGTTATAAAACCCAGCCTCTACATCCATGAGAGGATGTACACAGCCAAACGTATGATATAATTACACTTATTATACATAATTCTTATGCGTAGATAGGGATGAAAACGGTTGGAAAACGTCTCAACCATTTCCGTGGCTATTTAATCAACACTATAAATTTAAAATAGTCTGAAATGCAGAGGATTAATATATGCAAACTAGGGCCTGTTGCAGTGCATGCATGTACTTCAAATGTAGTCTTTGTAAAACAACCCTACTGACACAGAATTTGTGTCATTCACGCATCGGTCCGGGCCCCATTAGTCATTTTTACTCGTGATAATATTTTACAGCTCATGTATCTTTGTGATGGCATTGCCCAAATTATCCATAGAAAATTATATGTAAGTATAATATGGCTGTGTTTAGATCCCAGGGGTGAAATTTTTTATCGTGTCATATCGAATATACAGACACACATTTAAAGTATTAAACGTAGATTGTTTAGATTCCGCCTGTAAACTGCGAGAAGAATTTATTAAGCCTAATTAATTCGTCATTAGCAAATGTTTACTGGAGCACCACATTGTCAAATCATGGAGCAATTAGGTTTAAAAGATTCGTCTCACAATTCACACGCAATCTGTGTAATTAGTTTTTTTTCTATATTTAATACTTCATACATATGTGACAGGGTGAAAAAACTTACCAGAAGATCTAAACAGGCACTATATTTGGGATTTATCACTACACTCTACTGTAGTAAGATATGACGACAAAATTGCCTTTACTAATTAGCCCTGTTCTAGATAGATAAAGATAAAGATTAAATACAGGTACTCCATCCGTATCATAATACTCCCTCCGTTTTTTAATAGATGACGCCGTTGATTTTTTCTCACATGTTTGACCATTCGTCTTATTTAAAAATTTTATGCAAATGTATAAGATATAAATCACACTTAAAGTACTATGAGTGATAAAACAACTCATAACAAAATAAATTATAATTACGTAAATTTTTTGAATAAGACGAATGGTCAAACATGTGAGAAAAAGTCAACAGCATCATCTATTAAAAAACGGAGGTAGTATAAGAGATTTTGACTTTTTCTTGTACTGTTTGACCATTCATCTTATTCAAAAAAAATTTGAAATTATTATTTATTTTATTTGTGACTTACTTTATTATGCAATTATGCAAAGTACTTTAAGCATAACTTTTCTTTTTATATATATATTTGCATAAATTTTTTTAATAAGACGAATGGTCAAACAGTGCAAGCGAAAAGTCAAAATCCCTTATAGGACGGAGGGAGTACGCAAAACTGTGAAAATCATTAACGTGTATTTAATTGACTTTTAGTTACTTTAAACTAAAAAAATGATTTATATGGTATTGTAAAACAACTATATAGAAAATTTTCTCATAAAATAAACCATTTAGCCGTTTAAAAACGTGCTAATGAAAACCGAGGTAAAATCTCTATATCTTAATCTGAAAATAACTGGTCCTAAAAGTGCATAATCTCTTATTCTACTTCCTACAATTCATCTGACCTGGTTACAGAAGAACACACAAACACAGCACAGCACAAAACAGAATACATAAATACGAGCACATGACCCACGGGCCCCATCTCCCCATCTTCTTCTTCCTCCTCCCTCCCACCAGGCCACCACCACTCCATCTCCTTAATTGCACTTCCATTTCACCTCACCTCCTCTCCATCTCTCCATCGCCTCAACCACCTCCTCCTCTCTCGAGCTCGATCCAATGGGCAAGAAGGGTGGCCTCACCTCCCTCTTCTCCAGGCTGGCCGTCGCCGCCGCCGACTCGCCGTCCTGCGCGAAGAACCCGCCGCACACGGCGTCGTTCCGCGGGTTCTACTACGTCGACGAGCCATGCACGACGGCGGGAGGGGGAGGTGGTGGCAGGTCGCCGGCGGCGGGGAGGTTGAGGAAGGGTGGGGACGAGATGTATAAGACGGTCAACTCCGTCTTCTTCGATGACTCCGCCGACGCCGCCCACGCCGTCGCCGACGGCTGTGCCTTCTCCGGTGAGGATGACGACGACGATGACAGATTCTCCACGACGACGGCGGCCGACGAGGAGTGGTCGGAGGCGGTCATCCGCAGCCTCGGCCGCCGGACCTCCACCGACAGATTCTTCTTCGACGCCGGCCCGGGCCGGCCGGCCGCCACCAACTCCATCCTCGCCACGGTGAGGCCACGACGGCCACCACCACCACCACCGCCGCCACCACCAGCGGAGGAGGAGAAAGAGAAAGCGGCGGCGGAGGCGGCGCAACTCCCCGGCAAGTCGTCGTCGACGTCGTCGTCGCAGCTGGTGGAGGAGAGCGTGGCGGTGGCGGTGGAGTCGGAGGACCCGTACGGGGACTTCAGGGCGTCCATGGAGGAGATGGTGGCGGCGCACGGCCTCCGCGACTGGGACGCGCTGGAGGAGCTCCTCTCCTGGTACCTCCGCGTCAATGGCAAGCACAACCACCCCCTCATCGTCGCCGCCTTCGTCGACCTCCTCCTCGCCCTCGCCGCCGTCCCCTCCTCCTCCTCCTCCGACACCACCACCACCACCACCGCCGCCGCAACCACCACCACCAGTGACACCAGCTGCAGCACCGCGAGCACCAGCACCACCAGCAATGGCGCCACCAGTGTCACCGCCGCCGCCACTGCGGCTGAGCAATGCGGCGGCGGCGGCGGCGGTGGGGATGAGGAAGCTGGTTGCTCGTCTTCTTCCTCCTGCTGCGCCGCCTCTGACCATGACCATGAAGAGGTCTCGGCCATAAGCTAGGCAGGTGATCGATTAGCTTAGATATTGGAAGGAAGAAAATATTTTCTATTTTTCGACCCTAATTTTTCACCAAAAGTCGAATCATTTTAGCTTTTGTGAAAAATTAGGGGCGAAAAATATATCTTTTTCTGCTGTTTAGATAATTAGGTTTGTACCGAACTTGATTTTGCATGATGATGATATGTTAACCACGGCCACTGTTTGGATCAACGAGTCAGAGAGACTTGCTTAATTGCAGAGAGACTTGCTTAATTGCAAAGTGATGATGGGATTAAAGTGTAGCTGCACTGCTGGTCATCTTGATTTTGCTTGTCATGCTTCTTTCAGCCATGTTGGATCCAAATTTGGATGCAATTGTGATATTATGTGCATATAGTAGCTAGTACTACATACATTAGTAATTAACCTTCTATAGGACAACATGAGTTTGACAATTCAAATTCAGAATCAATTCACATGCTCAAGTATGTATTGAGTTTAATTTATAAATTCCTAAACCATATAAGGCTTTGAACACATAATTACTAGTAATAATGATAAAAACACATGCATGATCATTTGACATCTTACTAGAAATTTAATATAAAGAGGAGAATAATTTGACTGGGCCTGTTTGGTTCCCAGGGACTTATTCTAAGTCCCTATCACATTGGATGTTTGGATATTAATTTGGAGTATTAAAGATACACTAATTACATAACACATTCCATAACCTTGGACTAATTCGCGAGACGAATCTTTTGAGTCTAATTACGCCATGATTTTGACAATGTGATGCTACAGTAAACTTTTGATAATTATGGATTAATTATGCTTAAAAAATTCGTCTGGCAGATTAGCTCTCATTTATGAAATTAGTTTTTTTATTAGTCTATGTTTAATATTCCAAATTAACGTCCAAGCATCCGATGTGACATGGGCTAAAAAGTTTTAGCCCCATCTAAACACCCCCTTAGCAGGCTTCAGATTTAAATCATTCAATACACACACCGACCGGTGGGTGTGGGGCAGATCTTGAGGCATATTTAATGGTGGGCTGGGTAGTTGCATGTGCCTGAATTTATGTGCTTGCATACTTGCACACTATACACAATGCTACTACTCCCAGCTCACTTGAATGTATACTTAAAAGAGTAAAGTTCATCACCGGTCCCTAAACTTGAGCCGTTGTGTCATCCCGGTCCCTAAACTCACAAATCGACCGTTTAGGTCTTTAAACTTGTTCGACTGTATCATCTCGGTCCCTAAACTTGCAGATCACTCGTTTAGGTCCTCTAACTTGTTCAGTTGTGACACCCCGGTTTCTAAACTTGGATTTGAATATTATCTGGGTCAAATAGGACGGTCTGAAGACTTTATATTTAAAAATAATTCATAACTTTTTCATATGAATTCTAATGAAGACAAACTTTATATCAAACTTGTAGCTCTCGACACGATCTACAACTTTGTAGTTGAATTTTTTTTATTCTAAGTCATTTTTTGTCCCAGAATGTAATTTTAAAATTAAAATTTCAAAATCTATAAACATGCAACAATATCTTGGGACCCTAAACAGTTTTAATTCAAAAACTTTTCAACTACAAAGTTGTAGGTCGCGTCGAGAGCTACAATTTTGATATAAAGTTTGTCTTCATTAGAGTTCACATGAAAAAGTTATGAATTATTTTTTGATATAAAGTTTTTAGACCGTCCTGTTTAGGGACCGGAGTGACACAAAACAAGTTGGAGGAACTAAACGAATGATCTGCAAGTTTAGGGACCGAGATGACACAGTCAAACAAGTTTAAGGACCTGAACGTTCGATTTGCGAGTCTAAGGAACGGGATGACACAGCGGTACAAGTTTAGGGACCGGTGATGGACTTTACTCATACTTAAATTTAGTGTCTTTTGCTACTCCTCCTTAATGCATTGTTGTAGCCATATCTATGGGTTCAAAATAAATTCTAAATGGTGAAAAATTTCAGAAATCTCAAACAAAAAAATAATCTGAATTTGAAAATATATTCACTGATTAACTTGGATAAATTTTCACAACATTCAAACAAATCATTTTTTTTTGACAAGGACCCACGAGTAGAGCTGAAATTTCAAACTGTATTTTAAAATTGCGAACCTAGCTAGTCATAGATATATTACGTACATTTGGGCGAACTTAATTCAATGCCAATGTTTTTATTACTTCTATCTTACTCCCTTCGGTTTCATTTTAATTGATGTTTTAGACAATGACACGGTCTACAAGATATATTTTTGACCTTATTTTTCTACTATAATATATATAATAAATAAATACATGTTTACTTTTATTATAGTGCTTTAAAAGACAAATCTATATATATTGTTCTAGTTTCTAAATATTTTTAAAGTTATTGATGTTAAAAGTTATAAAAGTTTGACCTTAATCTTGTCCAAAACGTTAATTAATATGGAAGCGGAGGGAGTATTTGTACGTGCTGGTTGTAATTAATCCCAGAGATATTGTACGAATGAACAATAAGGGAAGTGCATGCATAGCTTGAAGTTTACCGATCGAAAAAATCAAGTTAGCTAGCTAGTAGCCAGTACTCCAGCTTAATTATATAGCAGTATATAAATATTACTCCCTCGTAGTTATCATCATATATTTTTCATTAAGATTTAAAAAGACTTAACTATAATGTGTATCATGCGTTTTAATTAATGTAAGTATGTGGCAGAGAGTTCTAAAAAAAAAGTACATGGTGGAGAAGAATGAAGAAACATGTAGACTTTAACTACTCCCCATATGCACAATAACCGAACGCTTACTCAATTTACATGCATAGATAATATTAAACATTTTACATGCATAGATAATATTGCACACCATATGAAGGGACAAGTGTTATTATATAATGATAATTAATTTGGAGTTTTTAATTTTTTATTATATGATGATCAATATGGAATAGAAGGAGTAGTATGTACTCCCTCCATTTCTACATATTTGACACGGTTAACTTTTTAACACATATTTAACCGTTCGTCTTATTCGAAAACTATATGTATACATATAAGTTTATTTAACAATGAATTAAATGATAGTAAAATAATTAATAATTATTTAAATTTTTTGAATAAGACGAACGGTCAAAAATATTTAAAAAAAAGTCAACGGCATGAAATATTTAGAAACGGAGAGAGTAATATGTAATGGAAGGAGTATTATGTACGTATATAGAACTGTAGAAAGATAGCCACGACGTACGTGTAGTTGAAACACACGTAGTAGGCGGGAAAAGCGACATTAGCCTCCATGGCCGGTCGTCGTGTACACATCGTCGTCGTTACTCGTGGCAGCGACCACACACCAGTTCAATGACATCTCAGTTCCTACCAGTACACAGCATGTAGCAGCTACATGACACACATATATACACACTGTTCAGCTTTATATAGGAAAATTACGATAACAATTTAATTACCAAACATGTTAATTACGACAATTAATTGTAGAGCTTGCTCTCCGGAAAAAGGACTCCATACTTTTGATCATTTGATGGAGTTGTAGGAACATGGGATAAAAAAGGGTTGGAAAAGATATTATTTTTATGGAAACAGTTAAAATTTCATATTTATGAATTTAACTATTTAATGCTAACTTCAATATGGCATTAATAGAAAGTATAAAATTAAATTTTAGAAACAATAACAATAGATAATTATATTATTATACTATTAGTTTTATGAAAACGATATCCATAAGGTTGGAAAATTTTGTACCGTTTTCACCCTCTATATACCATCTGTTGAGCGCTAACAACCGATCGAAGGGGCAGTCGATCAATTAGTCAGTTTTGTATAGTAGTACAATTCAATCTGCACGCGTAGTCTACATTGTTCGATCCTCGAGCAATGCGATATAAGATTCTTCCATGGATGAGATACTCTCTCCTTCCCATAAAAACTACTATATATTTTCAGCTTTTTTTTTGATAAATTTGCACTACCAAAGCTTATAGATCAGTATAATATTATTTATACGTCCCAAAATATATAAGTTACTTCTAAAGTTCGAATTTTAATTCATCTCAAAATATAGCGGCTTGCTTGTCTTAATCCAATTATATAATTATTTCTTATTGAATTTCTTCATATATTTTCGCATCTGAACTAGCTAGTAATCACAATCAGTTATTATTTAATTTTACATCTCTCCTTAATTCCGGTGGATAACTCTGTTTTCTCGAAGACGACGCTACTTATATACTGCTTCCTCTGTCCTGAAACATAAACAAACATTTTTAGTATAATACTAAGTCAAATAATTTTAGCTTTGACTATTATAACAAAAATATAAAAAATCATGTAAAATTGATGTAACTATCATAATATGTAACTATTTTTTTATTTAAAACAACTTACTTTTATATATAGATATTTATGATGAAGATATATAGTGTCTTCTAGATTATCTCGGAGTAGTCGTCTACTCCATCTGGCGAAGCTTCTAATTATGGGTTCGTGGTTTTTTTATCCCAAGTGGCACGGCGATGACGACGCGCGCGCGTGCTTGTCCTAAATCGCGAGCCAATTATCGTCCTCGATAAGAGTGAACAGATGCATGTGTTGTGTAGTTTAACTACTCCATGTGTCGACGCATGCAGGCGTAATCTTTCGTTACTGCATGCAGTGACCTTTCTCGGGTTTCAAGGAGCAGTTTTCTCGAGTTAACTTGGCAATCACCTTAATTAATTGGGCCTCTGGTGTTCATGGGCTACCTGCAGGCCCAATCTCCCAAAGAAGGCTCTCAGCTGTCCAGATTTTTTTGGCCATAGGAGTAGTACACACTTTGGTCCTATCGGGACAAGCTCGAGATTTAAAAAAAAAGCTTGTGAGTAGCTAGTTAGAAAGAAATAAAAAAAATATTAACTGTAAAATCAAGAAGTTGATTTATATTTTATGATGAAAATATTGGTGGTTTGCTAATGTTATTTTGGAGATTTAATAAGACGGTTGATTTTGTGAAGTGGGAGTTTTCGATTGACCCTGGCGGTCAGACCGGTCGTGTGCCGCCAGTCAGACCGGCCGACCCGACAGTCTGACCGGCAAGATCCTGATCGTTGTCGATTTCGGGTTGTCTTGTTAGATTTGGATGTTTCCTTCGGGGATTTGCTTCTACATGGTTTCTATGCATATGGATGCTGTTGTTATACTAATGTGAGTCAAGTTGGGACAAGCTTGTGCTCGGAATATGGTTTCTTGGTTATTGTATGTGCAGGTGTTGCTTGAGGCCTCAGGAGAGTATTGCCGGTGAT